AAAGACGGTGGAATGAGATGGACATCACTACCCCAGGTACAGGTATGAAGCCAGAGTGGTGTGACTCTACTTTGTGAACCACCAGAGACATGAAAASTGTGCTCCGTATGAGCGCTGTGAATCGACACGCATTCTCTGTCRTGTATAACAATTCAGAATAAACAAATAAACTTTTAAAAAAGAAGGTGTAAAGACAACCCACAGAACGGGAGAAAATACTTGTGAACGGTATCTTCCACAGAGCTGGAGGCCATAATATATAGATCAAATGTTATCTTAACAAGAAAAAGGCAAATAGCAAGCCAATGGGCAGAGGGCTTGATGGATAGACACATCTCCATGGAGATATGCAAATGACCACTGAGCACATGAGAAAGATGCGCCAGGAGGGAACCGACATTGCTGGTGGGACCAGGTGGGGCAGCACTTTGGAGCAGTTAAACGCAGATCCTGTGAGGCCCCGCCACCCCTCCTGGGTGCCTGGGAAACCTGTGCATGCATCTTGAGCCCCAAAACCACCAACAGGCAAAAGCAGCCCACTGTTCACCACCGCGATTCACCAACCGCTGTTCACCACCAGCAATGAAAACACCTGCGTATCCAGGGGCACGTCACGTTCAGACCTTGGAAATACACCGCCAGGAAAGAGCCCAGGGGCACATGGCCACACGTGCGTGTTTTTACTTATTTTGACGGGGCCCTCCCTACATTGCCTAGGCTGGACTCGAACTCCTGGGCTCAAGGGATCCTCCGGCCCCAGCCTCCCTGGAGCTGGGACCACAGGTGCCCACGCCCCTGTGCCCAGCTTGCGTGACTGTGTACAAGAAACGTCTGGAACAGGCAAATCCAGAGACAGAAAGTGGATCCCAACGTGGCAGGAGCTCGGGGAGGGACAGGGAGTGATGGCGAAAGGACCCAGGGCCCTTTTCGAGGTGACGAAAATGCTCTGGAATTAGATGACAGTGATGGTGACCCAGGCCTGTGAACACACTTCGTGCACTTAATAAGATGACCCTGGGCCGGACAGTCCTGGGCCCACTGTCAGTCTTCACCCAGCCACTGAACACTGCTGTGCTGGGCCCAGGACGCAGGGGTGTGTGTCACACGAGTGTCACACGAGTGTCACGGGCAGCTCGCCTCCCAATCTGTGGAGCTACCGGGAGGGCTTCCTGGAGGAGGGGAAGGACTGGGAGCGGGCAGAGCCCTGGGCAGCAGGGTCCCCCAGGGACAGCCGGCCAGGGCTTCACCTCCAGGTGCAGGAAAGAATCGGGGACAGAGGCTGTGGACGCTGGGCCTCCCAAAGCCAGAAAGTGCCACAGCTGCCTCCGCCCCTCGGGAGAACCCTGCTCCCTCCACGCCCGCGAGCCCCGCTGTCCTGGCCAGGCCTCCAGGACCCCGTGTGTCCCCAGGCGAAGCTTCCTGTGCGCTTTTGAACTTAACTCAGCAAATTAACGTTTGTGAATAGGATCTGGTTATGAATTTTAATGACTTCCATTCATTCCCAGTCCAAACAAATTACAGATCTGGTGCTTTATTTAATATGCTTATTGCCATTTTATTACCCTCATTGGCAACCAAACAGCATAAAATATTAATTTAAAGAGGCAGTCGTGTGGGTTCTCTCTCCAAGTGGAGCRCGGGACGGCTCTCGGGGTTGCCCATGTCACTCCCCGTTCCCTGAAGACACAACCAACTGAGGTTTTTTCCGTGTGTTCGGTTCTGGGAACCGAATCCGGGCCTCTGCCTCAGAGCTGCACCTGGCTTCGCTTGTTCATGAGCTGGTTTTATCAGTCCCCACTGGCCCTGGGGTCAAGAGGGCACAGCAAGGTGGCAGCTAGAGCAGAGCCCTGCTGTGACGGTTCCACGCCAACCCATTCTGAGTGCAGGACAGAAGCCACTGTCCCCCCACCCCACCCCATCCCACCCCGCGGCCTCCAGGAGCTGAGAGGTCCCTAGGGGACCCCGTGACCCAGGACAATACCCGGCCCCAAGGTCCTTAACCTATCTCTTCTGCAAACTCCTCTCCCCGTCAGGGGACAGCTGCTTCAGGCCAAGGAAAGCGGGCAGGTGCCCAGGGCCAGATCCGTCCCGCCTGGCCCCAGAGCCCCGGAGGGCAGGGCAGCAAGCCCCCTACTCGCCAAGCCCACCGTGGGCCCAGGAGCATCAGAGTTTTAGGTAACGGCCAGATCCCACATGAGTTTCCAACATGCCAGATGGACGTGCGGAAAAGGACACTCACTGCCCTCTGGTGTGGCCATCCTGAGGCTGACCCGACCTCCCCAGAGCTGTGGGATGAGCAGCCTCGTCTTCCACGGCCAGAGAAGGGGTACGGGCGGGGGTGGGGGGGACAAGCTCATGACCCGGCTGGCTCAGCGCCGCAGCTGCTGGGATGGGGCTGGGATGGGGCTGGAACAGGGAGGCCCTGCTGGCAGCCAAGACGCCAGGGCAGAAGGGCTTCCCGGAGGAGGCACCACTGAAACAGATTGTAAAAGATGAAGTTGGGGACAGAGGGGGGGTGGGGCACAGAATGGCTCTCGAGTCCCTGAAGGTTGCAGATGGTAAACCCCACGCAGTGGGCTCGCCTGTGGTCCCAGCAGCTTGGGAGGCTGAGGCAGGAGGATGGCAAGGTCAAAGCAGCCTCAGCAACTCAGCGAGGCCCTGAGCAACTCAGCCAGACCCCATCTCTCGATAAAATACAAAGGAGGGCTGGGTGTGGCTCAGTGGTAAGCGCCCTGGGTTCCATCCCGGTGCCAGGAAAAGGATCCCAGCACGCTCAGGCTGTTCCTTTCAGAAACACGAAGCTGGCTGAGAGGAGGGGCGAGTTCAAGTCATGGCTAATAAGGTCTTGGTCAGGAAGGAGAGGCCGTGCTGAGGGGACAATTGGGGACCTTGGCAGTCTCATCCGTCAGCTTATTTCTCGCTCCTGCCCTGTGTGGCGCAGGTGGGCAGGGTGCCCGGGGGTGCAGGGAGAAGTGGGGGCACCAGCTCTTACTACTCCTTCCCGAGGGCCCCCCAATTCTGCTGTGATGTCATTGGCCAAAGCCAGTCACATGAGCAAGGTTCGGCAAGGCCCAGAGGGCAGGGAGCCAGAACCTCCCAGGGCACTGGGCGGCCCCCAGGTCCCTGGTGCTCTACCCGCCGCTGGGTCCCACACGCGGGCACAGACACAGGAGCCGGGAGCACGGGCCTCCGTGGTGGCCTCAGGCTGCGCTGGCCCTGCAGGGTCGGGCTCAGCCACCGGAGACAGGGGTCCAGGACGGTCCCTGGTCCCAGAGCCTCCAGGGCTGGGGAGGTGGACGTGGGCTCACTTACTATTGCAGACTCACACCGAACTGCTGGGTGGGCAGAGGCGGCCGGGGCGGTGGCTTCTTGGTGGCAGGAGGCGGCAGCCCGCTGTGCAGGTCACGGAGCTTCTCGTCATACCTGGGAACACAGAAGAGGCAAGTCACACATCGCAGGGGACAGCCCATGGCTGCGGGAGGCCACTTCCAGGTGCTGGGTGGGACCCGATGGAGAGACATGCCTCGGGTCATCACTGGGCACAGCCCAGATCAGGACTAGAAAACCCTGTCCTGCCCTCAGACCAGGGTCTCCGACTCTGGAGCTCAGAGCACACACGGGGACGGGGTAAAACCCAGATCCACAGCCCCGCCCGGAGGGCAGGATTCCTGTGTCCTCTGGGTCCTTCTGCAGGGTCCCTGGACCACTTTGGGGGCCCTGGCTGCCCAGAGCCTGATTCACACCCTCCCAAGCCCCAGCTCCCGAGGACCACGGGACCCTGCCTTTGATGCTACTGGCCGCCTGCACGGTCCTGGACACCCCAGACCACAAGGTGGGCCCCAGAGCTGCAGCTGGTACGCTGGTCTCCCCCACAAAACTGCCCCAATGGGACCCCCTGGGAGCCAACCCCAGTGACCCTAGTGCAGCCCGGGTTGGGGTCTTGCCCAAGCCCACAGTCGACCATGGTCCCCATGCCCTCAGGGTCCAGTCATGGTCCTCCAAGGACTCTTTCGCCCCAGCCCC